AACTAGTTTATATTTTGCTTATCTAGTGTTCAAATGGGAAGATGGATTTTATGTCCTTAGAAATGTTAAGGCAGTTGTTAGTTTTGTGGATTCTGAGAGTGACCATGAAGCAGAGTTACCGAGTTAAGGCTGTCCCTTTTTCAGGACTAGGACCTAGAGCAAGGCTACCGTTGTGTATGGGAATATAAATGAAAAACTTTTTCAATGATATAGGATCAGAAGGAAACGTTGAAGCACGATTAATAGAGTTCAGACATCTTAGTTGGAAACACGCCTTCATTGTTCGAGGAATTGAGTTTCGTCCATAATGAAGAAGATACATTTAGAAAAATCGGCATGATAATAACCAACATATAGCAAGAGTTAACCCAAATCGATCACCAACACCAAAGGTATTCCCATACACAAAAAGAGTACATGGCAAGCTGGCGCCTCTGGCACTCCAGGCATGTTGCAAAAATATGTCCAGGAAGCACCACAACCTCAACTAAGGAGATCTTCACTACTGAAATGCTAAACAACAAATATATAGATGAAACATTTGTAGATGTGGTCTAGATCAAGGAGAATACTACCTTTGTAGAAAATTCAGGGTGTAGTAAGTGGAGAAGTTCAAAGGAGTAAGAGGTTCATAAAGAACCTGGATATCAAGATAATTGCAAAGTCTCGAGGATCCCTTAAAAGTCGACGCAATGAATAAATTAAGTTGGTGCTGAGGGGGAGTGTTCATAAGTCATCACCAACTCAATTAATATCTAAGATATTTCGAAGAATAATCTAGTAAATAAACGACTTGTAGAGAATTCAACAAAGAACTCTCGAATGAGAGTTCTAAAGTGCAACATCTTATATCATTCAAGAAAGTGCAATTCTATAAATAGGTAAAAGGTGCATTCTATAAATAGAGGTAGACATTTGAGTGTACAGAGTTATAGACCAAAATTGATCTTTACTTAGCAATAACAATATTCAAGTTGTAAACAACCAATTGTGCCCAATAATTCACTCTTCTTTTGGATTTAGGCCACCACTCTTATCGATTGGTCACAACTAGTACCCCTCCATTGTCTAGGCCACCACTCTTGACACTCTACGGAGCTATTACTTCGGGTTGCAGCCTCAAGTGTTAATCAACCCTACTCTGATACTTATTCTAATAATCTATTTGGTGGAAAAACCGACTAACCCTACTAAACCGTTAATATTTTTTTCTTAATCAATGTAGGTCAATTAGCATACAACAAAGTTGGTAAACATTCCTTGCATTTAAGAAAAGGTGGTTCGCTTCCTTGAAAGGAGGAACCTTTAATAGGAAACTTTTAACTCTTCCATCCAATTGTGGTTCTTATACGGTGCAAACTCAGATGGTGTGCAGCCTGCAGGTTCCGCTAAGGTTTTGATGTAAAAAGAAAAATGTGCTATAGTAATTTAAATTGCGTAAATAGTACTATATATGACTGAATCTTTGAAAATTATTATTATAGTTCAATCGTCTGGTACCCAAGACTCACTATAATTAGTGACTAATGGTTGATTTAATTCAAAATTTAGCATTACATTAACTTTTTTAGTATATGTAATTGTTGGGCTTGTTAGAGTGGTTGCAATCCCACATTGGTTGGGGAACATAACAATAATTTTGCTTACATACATAGAGTTGGAAAGTTCTTCCCTCATGTGCTAATTTTTAAATGTGAGGTAGGCCCAAGATCTAATTTCATAAGGTTCAACTGACACCCTTAACTTTTTTATGACTTTCCCCCCTTGACAACGTAGTTGAAGTATCCTGATCATGTGTTTGGAGCATCCTGAATCAACAATCCAATCATTTTAATAATCAATTAATTTCTCACTTACAATTTGCCTGTGCAAGCTCCTTTTCCTTGTATGAGTGTGAGAGGTGACAATATATTCATGTTGATTTCTTGGTTTCTTTATTTGTATAAGAGGTCTCAAAATCCCAAGCTTCTTCTTCATCTTGCCTTATTCGAGTAGAAGTGGTTATAACACCTTTAGCTATCTTGTAACAACAATCTCTAGCGTAATGTCCTCTTTTTCCATAATTGTAGCACTTGCCCCTTTGCCAGTTATTGAAACCTTGGTTTGCCTTCTTATTGGCTCTCTGGCTTCTTTGATGTTGACTCTTCAGTTCTCCCCCTGTACTTCTCTCTTTATCCCATTTTGGTAGCCTTGCCTTTTGTGTATCGCATTATAAAGCAGGGGTGATTATCGTGTGTCAGTTGTCTCTCATTAATTAGAAAGATAAATACGAAGGAATATAGGATAGCATTTTCGATTGAGCCTTCTTGTTGAATCTATAACAACTCTACAATAATTTAGCTAGATAAAATAGGTAATAGGGCACCCTCGCTCTGGCGGCTCTAGTGATTCCCTTGGAAGCTGCTGTGCGTCCCTCCCTAGCATGACTTTATCTCGCTCAGTGAACTTTCAATATTAGCAGTAATGCAAGTTAAGGATTTAAACAACGGTAGAGAATTTTGTAGAAAAGAGGATCAAAACATGGTAATGTGCAACAGGGCAATATCTTATACTTCTCTAGGTGGTGAGAAGAGACATGATATTCGTAATGCTTCAAGAGTCCTATTATGTTTTAACAACTTTGATGCTTTATTGAATGCTACTGGAAAAGATGGTAATATTTTGGCTCCAACATTACATATTTCTAATCCTAATGTAGCTAATTAAGATTATTCAAGAAAATCAGGATAATATGCGAGTCAAATCCAATCCAACAATCAAGACACTCATGGTTACATTGAGCACCTCGGCTTATGAGGTCCCTTCCGAATCTTTGGAGTCACTTGGTCATTATAAAGGAAAAATCTTGACAGATACTATTGTCAACAGGGAATGAAGACGACGATTCGGTGAAAGGTATGCCATATCACTCTCTCAAGCAAATTTCACAAATGATTTGGTTATTTTGAGGAAAAACCAGGGGTGATTAGTGTTTTTAGGCGGGCTCTTTGGTTGATAAAAAGAGCAGGTTTCACCACGTGCTTTGAATAGAAAATTAAGTCCAGAAGCTCTATAGTTGTGCCTAAAAGTGTCAGTGCAAAGAAGAACAAGCCAAAGGCCTTAGCATTAAGATTTAGTCCAACTAATGCTTATACAGTTGATTTGAAAGAGCATTATCTGATGAAAACAAGGAAGACAATTTGCTAGGATATGTTTTGATAAAATGGTTGTCATAACAAATGAACAAGAATGATAAAATTACAAGGAATACAAAATAAAACTTGCTTGGCTTAGAGGCATGTTAATACATTTTTTGAAGATAGTTGAAGTCTCTCCCACGAGCAATCGGAAGAATAAATAACAACTCTATCTTCGGGATTCAACTAAGCCACAAAACAAGTAGCACTCAAGAATGTTACTCTTCTATTCTTGAATTGGTGATTACACATTTTGATTAATGTCTCACAAGTGTTTTCAAGGGGAAGTACTTTTGTTTTTAATGTTTATCTTTTTCAACCAAAATAAACTCAATTTATAGGATAAAAAGTTTTGCAAGAAAAAGACTTTTAATTAATAGAATTTATTAGGTTCATAAATTGGAAACCAAAAACTTATCTTTCAAAAACCCATAATGTAGAATTAAAAAAAACTTCTTGCAAATGTTTATAACATAGAATTAAAATAAATGAATGTTCCGCATCAGTTTGATGCTAGAATCAAATGGTGTAGGAGCAGGTTTGTCATCAAAGTGACCAAATCTCTTTAGAACATTCTCAATATAACTTGATTGAGTAAGAGTCAAGTCATTCACTGATCTTGTAATTTTAATACCCAAAATTACATCAGCTTCTCTAAGATGTTTCATCTCAAATTGAGAAGCTAGAAAAGATTTTGTTTCTTTGACTCTTTCAATATCAGTTCCAAAGATCAACATATCATCTACATAAAGACATATTATAATACAAGATTTTTCTTGAAATTTGCTAAATATACAAATATCACCACCATTGATTGAGTAGCCATTAGAAATCATTACTCTTCTGAATTTCTCATTCCATTGTTTTGGAGCTTGTTTTAATCCATAAAGATATTTAAGAAACTTATAAACTTTGTGTTCTTGACCAGGAAAGATAAATCCTTCTGGTTGTTTTATGTAAACCTCTTCATCTAAATCTCCATTCAGAAATGCAGTCTTCACATCCATTTGATGTATTACTAGACTATGAATTGCGGCTAAAGCAATCAAGAGTCAAATAGAAGTTATTCGAGCTATAGGTGCAAATGTATCAAAATAATCAATACATTTCAATTGAGTAAAACCTTTTGCCACCAAACGAGTTTTCTACTTATCTAAGGTTTCATCAGATTTAAATTTCTTTCTAAAGATCCATCTACAACCAATAGACTTACATCCAGGAGGGAGGTCTGATAAACTCCATGTATTGTTTGACATAATGGAGTGCATTTCATCATCAATAGCTTCACGCCAGAAAGGAGCATCATGTGAAGTCATTGCTTCAGCATAACTTTTAGGATCCCTTTCAATCAAATAGATTTGAAAATTTTGTCCAAAGTCTCTTAGTTTGGATGATCTTGCACAACGTCTTGGTTGTCATAACAAATGAACAAGAATGATAAAATTACAAGGAATACAAAATAAAACTTCCTTGGCCTAGAGGCACGTTAATACGTTTCTTGAAGATAGTTGGAGTCTCTCCCACGAGCAATCGGAAGAATAAATAACAACTCTATCTTCGGGATTCAACTAAGCCACAAAACAAGTAGCATTCAAGAATGATGCTCTTCTATTCTTGAATTGGTGATTTCACCTTTTGAATAATGTCTCACAAGTGTTTTCAAAGGAAAGTACTTTTGTTTTTAATGTTTATCTTTTTCAACCAAAAGAAACTCAATTTATAGGATAAAATGTTTTGCAAGATAAAGACTTTTAATTAATAGAATTTATTAGGTTCATGAATTGGAAACAAAAAAATTATCTTTCAAAAACCCATAACGTAGAATTAAAGAAAAACTTCTTGCAAATGTTTATAATATAGAATTAAAATAAATGAATATTACAATTCACATTCATGTATTTGTTATTTCAAAACGGATGAATTTGTTTCAAAATAAATTGAAACACTAACTCTTACAATGGCTAGGGAAGGGTATATCTCGCCTAGGCAACATTGAAATGGAAAGAACAGAAGCAAGAAATTGACATAAGGAAGACAACATAGTTGGAACGATAAAGTGACTAAGAAGTTTGTTCCAAGGCACCTACAATGTGACTGTCAAAGAAGCATCATATGGAAGTATCAATAGCTTTAACAAGATCCAATAATCCATGAAGAAATGATGAACTAACAAGTGTTGTTGGACAAGTTCGAAGAAGAAAACAAGAGGAAAACACTTCAGGTTAATTTAGATGTGCAGACACTCTTTTTTAATTCATTCACTTGACAAAGGAAGTTTGAGGCCGATAATTCAAACTTTTAATTCTTGGTTGCCATATTTTTGATTATTTAAGCACCTTAATTTGTATTATTTTTATATAGTGTATTATAAACTCTGTGGTAATCACAAAATCCTACTTCTCTCTAAATTTTATTTTCTTCATGGTTGTTCGTTAGTAGAGGTTTGTTACCTCATTAGGATTGGAAATGAAAGGTTCAGCTCCCTTTGCTTGTACTTATCTCTATTGAGTTTTTTTATTTTAAAGAAAAGGTTGCTAAATTTTTTCTTTAAAAAAATCTATTTTATACATTATCATATCAAACTTGGTATGAAAATTACATATTGTTAATAGGTTAACTTGATTTGATAGTGAATGTTATTCTTTATACATTGTACATAAAATAAACTCTAACATAAATGCATTTCCTTAATTTTATCAGTAGAAACGAAGAGACAATCTTTGAAATAAATGGTCTGAAAGATAGAAAGAAAGCAAATCAATTGCATAAAACATTTATAAGTTAGAGGAATCAAGTTGTAGATCAAATATCCAAATTAAGGAAATGTCAAAGATATAAACCTGGAATTGCAGTGTGTCTTCCATCGTCAAGAGTGTATGTCATCAATTTTAAAAATGTTAAGCTTTCTTGCCGTTATCATAAAACAATTTTTCCTGCTATACTTGTCAAGAAAAAAACTTTGAGAGAAAAAAAAGCATTAAACAATATCCCAAGGGAGGTGCTATCAGTAAGAGTACAACACTCCTTAAGGAAGAATCGAAATACTCTAGCAGACTTTTTTGCTAATTTGGTTTTTTTATTTTGCAGGTAATTATGAATATAAATCTTTTCAGGAAGTTCCAAGTTTAGGAAAAAAAATATTCAACCTTGACAAGTACAAAACACCACACATGAGAATTCAAAAGACAGGTTCCACAAAATTTCAAATTAATTAGAGTTTATAGTGTCAATAAGTAGTATGAATACAAAAGTGAAGTACATAGATATATTCTATCAATTCAATCTATGATGTCTAAAATACTTTCCGGTTGGTTAAAGTACCTTGCACCTTGGTGAGAACTTTGAGGTGTTGCGAATGGTATGAAACTAGGACTCAAAGATTGAGAGTAGTACTTTTCTACTACAGGTAACTTAAATCATACAGCAACATAAAATTTCGATAGTCTTGACTTAGATGGTGGCATTAACCTAGTCGGATTCAATCCATTATTGAAGAGGCTAAATAATTCAAATTGATGAAGAAGGTTTCAGAGTTACCTTTGGTTAGGATACTGAATGGGAAAAACTGTATTCATCTGCAAGCAGTTAGAATTGTTGTATATGAAGCTTGCAAATGACACAAGTAATTTCTTTTCTGCAAGAGACCTCAAAAAAAGTTAATTTATCTTTTAGAATCTAAAATTTGATGGTGGTATCAATTTAAGTTGTGACATTCAATCCATTGAATCATAGATCTAAGAAAGACGAACCAATTTGAGATTTCAAAGTCACCTGATAGAACTCTTGGATGAAAATTTTAAATCGGCAGTGAGATATTCAATGCTAGA